TTTAGAAATGAACAGCGAGCTGGCTTCTTTTGAATTTTTGTTTTCTGTGAAAGAAGAAGCTGCCACCTTACTATTAAATACATCTCTATGTTCTGGTGCATTTCACACATGTCATAGAAAACATGGATCTCTCTTTGAACATAATGTCTCTTTAAATCTATTACCGTTTCTATTAGTAATTCAATTTCTTATTGCTCTAATAAGGACATTTTATGCTTTATATAATATTCATTTCACACATTTAAGAGAGGCCCAAGGCTCACGACTGTTTCGCTCTTACAGTGAGCTTCGCAGTTTAGAATTTTAATTCTAGTTTTCAGTGGGTTAATTTAATCCTAAAATGTCCCTCTGGTATATCAACATCAATTAAAGATAGCTGAAAGTTCAGCGCTCTGTGTGTTGGGTTATATGTAAGCTATATAGATTTCACCCTGAAACTGATACCCACAGTGTTCGAGCCAGGATTGTCTGCGAGGGGGTCAAATTAGTACTTTTTCTACGGGGTTACTGCTCTATCCAAGAGGAGCGATGAACAATACTGTGCAAAATGTACACTGGTGAGCACTGTAAAATAATATTGAAATAGATAGATATATTTAATATAGTCTCATATTAAAAATATAAAAAAATTGGGTTCCTGATATACACCTACAGGGGATGAAAGTACATATTAATTTAAATAATTCACCATGGTCACCATTAATATTTCAACTGTCAACATTCATTTGTAGCTAGAAAAACGGACCAATTTAATGACTATATAACTATGGTACCCAAAATACCTTTTTTTTAAATTGTTTTGTTAATTACAGACAAAAGTGGTATTATATTTTATGATGATTGCTAGTTTTTCACAAGTGAGAAACATCTGTAAGTTACATCAGACGGTTCAAGTTGAAAATAACCTAAATCTATCCTGCTGACAGCTCTGTCTCCTTTTTGCTACTGAGCTAACTAACTAAATTGGCCATCGTTAGTTAACACCGTCGTTAACAACAAGCACATATCGCATATCTGAATGTTTGGGGAACCCGGTTACGGTGACTAAAATATGAATGAGATATACTAAATGTGTAGATTGTTTAGGCTACTATCTGCAAGCTTAACTGTTACGGTGCTGGAAAATGAACAATCCTTGCTTTCTTCTTCACTATAAAAACGATACAGAGTGGCATTTCACTCCCTTTAAAATATCCTTGGTGGAGCCTGCAGTAGGACACTGGCCTACCACACGTTCAGCAGGGAACAGCCAAGTTTCATTTAGTGGGCTGGGAAACAAATGATGATACAGCTCATAAAATCTAAAAATGAGAAGCCTGCCAACAGCCTTAATTTTATGGGGGGCAATTTGGCACGGGAAGGTTGTAGTGATGGGTTATTGTCACCGTTGCACGCTGTGGTTCAAAACCATACACCCAGCAGGACAACAACATTCTCTTAAAGTGCCAATCCTTCAGATTTTAGTTGATGGTTGAATTGGTGACACCTGCAGTTCCTGGTGGTAGCAGCAAACACAGTTTAATACTGAATTCTGGTGGCAACAGAACAAACTCGTTTTAATAATGAAGGCAATAGTTTGACTTTTTACATCATTACCTGAGCGACCGTGATCTGATTTTATGCTGCACACGGCATGAGTGTGCGAACAGCAGGGCACATTGAAAGGAGTTGGTTACCTCACTGAGAAGTCGGAAGTGTGCAGTCTGTCACCTGCAGCTTTTCATCTAACAGCTCACTGTGGCTGCTCCTTTTTGTTCCATTAGCCCCTGCAATTTTTAAAACCAATCTGTCTAAAAATACCAGAAATGGCCGCTGTCCTGCTTTGTAGACATTTTAGACGGCAGCGGTGAGTGCGAAGGTCACTGACAAACACACTGCATTTCCTGTGACTACTTCATAATAAAAGTCAACTTGTGTTTTGCCAAGCGCTTTTAATGTGAAGCTGCAGCAGCAGGAAACGTTCGATCTGCATTTATCATGGCATTTTTCCTGGGAATGTCGCCACAGACACCCAGTTTGTAACACTGCAAATATATAAAAAATGTAGTACTAATCAGTGGGCTATAGGCTCAATCACCATTGTGTTACCTGATTTTGCGACACACAGTGACTTAAGAGACACTTATTTAAATGAAAATCTTTGAGATTTAAGGCAACGTTTTCTCAGAGAATAATTGTATATACTTAAATGCATGCTCTTCTTCAGAGAAGCAGCCGGACACTACAGTATGACAGTCTCATACTACAAATTGCTTACAAAACAATAAGCTTGGAGTGCCATCTCTTTCTCTCGCTGCCTTTCTCTCTCTCTCTTCCCTCTCATATGACTGTCGTATTCCCTTTCATGAATAGCCTTTGCAATAAATTGAAAAAAAGGAATTTTTCTGAGAATGCTTTTCCTCCCCAAGTCCCCTTAGGTAACATGAGAAATCAGCAAGAAGAATGAGCTCAATTCAATTATCTTCCTCCGTACTCAGGGGTGCCAAAGAGCCTTTAACAAATTGAAGATGGCTAGAGTTGATTCAGGTAAATGGACTGAATCTCACTCAAGTATTTAGAGGGCGGAAAATAGTAGGAGGAAGGCCATATCTTGCTGTTGAAAAGCTGAAGATATAATTTACCAATGAGTGGGATAAAGCTTGAGAGGCCACAACAGCTTTGCAGCAACCCCCCCTCCTATCGAGGAGGCACGCACGAGCCCAGCTTTGAATCTGTTCCACTCACCAGGCTTTACCTTTCTTTGTTCACAACGCAAGATGACAGCTTTGATGTTGGGTCTTGTCTTCTTCCAGTATACTACCTCCAACTTTAATGTAGAACCAATGCTTTTGTCACGGTGAATCACAAACATTTTGTAATGGCTGGCTTTCTTGTTCAAATCTGTTGCCTTTAAACCTAAAGCAAAGCGAGCAAGTGATTTTTCATGCAAAACCCAGAAGAGATACTACCACCTTCCCCTCCTCCCACTAGTTGGGCTGTATCATTTTGCATGTGCCTGGGACTCTATTCATTTAAGTCAGCGTAGTGACCTCAATAAAATGAGTGGGCGCTGAGCTGCAATAGATTTTCTAGGTGACAGTATGTCTCTTTGAGTTGCAGATATATTTCTTTACTTCAAGGATGCATGTATGTTGTTCAGACCTCTGTATGGATGGACTCATAAAGAAAAGAGAGATAGTTAAATGGATCAATGGCTGAAATTAACATTTAATGTGTGCACACATAAATAAAAAGAACAGAAAGGGGGTAAAGCCGATAATACTCTATATCATGTCGGATCCAGTTTGCTGTCGGTGTCCTGTTCCTGTGGGGAGCAATTTGCCTGTTTTCATCCAGGTTCCAGCTTCGGTGGCAATGCCGACACCTCCTCTACCCCTAAAATGAAGAGGACTCTGCTGGGGAAATCACCTCTCAGTTTGGCCTCTCTACTCCTAGATCCCTCATCTCCTGTGCCGCAACCTCTGAAAGCACCCGCCGTGCGGCCATTACCAAGGCGCTGGGGCTTTAAGCAGGGGAAGATGGATCTAGAGGGTGTCCCCAGCCAAAGCTCCCCACATCCCTCCTCTGTATTCCACACCATTACTTGTCTAGCTGCCTGCCGAGCTTTCCTGCCTCCTTTTTCTCCCTCACTGCGTTTTTTCCCTTCTTTTTTTGTTTTGTTAGCCAGTACAGTACATGGCTGTAAAAAGATATAAATATCTGGAGGCGTGAGCCACATCCAATAAAACAAACTGATGTGAAGGGCTGTGACAGGCGATCACACCATTTGAGGAGTGTGACGGCGATTTATTTGCTCAATGAAGGCTGGTAAGGCCTTAAAGCAGTCCACTGGAACCAGAAGACAAATGGACATAGATCTTAGTAAACCATTGTACTGGGGGTAAATGTTACACTGGTTACAGATTGTCCCTTGACCATTTCAATTTCATATTTTAGTCACTAGAATGTATGACCAAGATCGTACCAGGAAAGGGTGTGAATTTTCAGTCTGTGCTAAATAAATACCCTGGTGTCTCATACAAGATGACTTCTGTCACTGGCTGAAGTCAGTTAGCTGCTAATACTGTCAGATTCATCCCTTGTGCATAAATAAACTGCTAATTATATTAAAACCTCAGCAAAACAAAGTGTTGATGGCGTGCTTTGATCTGCCATGTGGGGCTCTGTTTGGAGGACCCAGCAGGTGGCCTGAAACAAACCTGAAAGGGAATTGCTGCCCTGCCTCCCTATCACACATTCAAACCTCTCTGCCTCTTATCTCCTGGACCTCACAAACCAGCCGCTCTGTGTGTGCTCAAAGTGCGACACATTTAAAAAAGGCGGACCTTGACAGTGTCGTTTTCAGGAATCTTTAAAGAACTCAAATGACTAAGCATGTCATACTGCGAGTGTGCTTTTCACACATTTTTGAGTCGGTACACGCTGTAAGATCCTGCAAGTTGGGGATAACACGAGTTATACTCGTTGAATGTCAACAGATCAATTATTATGGTTTGACAACGGGACTATTCATTTGTTTGGTGATGGGTACATAGTTTTCTAATTGTTTAATCGCTTATACCGAGCCCATTATTGACTCTGACTGCCAAGTGTTTCAAATGCACATATCTCAAAGCGTATTGGCTTCTTTCCTATCTCACATGACACGGCATGTCATTGCTGGACTATGCTAGTATTTGAATCATGCATAAGTGGACCTTTGGGAATGATCATAATTGCTGCATCCAGGATCATGCACAAGAAAGGATCAATAAACCTATAGACTATATATGAACAGACACAGAGACCTTCTGTTGATTGTATAGATTTATATTGTGTTTACTCAGTGTTGAGGTATTCCTGTAATGCCCCTACCTCGTAAACTGCCGTTTATCAGTGATTATAAAGATGCCACTGTAGTTCTGTCCCTTTCCTTAGCTCTTCTCTTCCTAGTGTTACTTTCAGGTTAAATCCATAAGGTGTCGCTGAATTGTCAGAATGTGTGATGTAAATGTGCTCACCTGGTAGAGCGTGTCCCATGTAGGCCGAGTCCTTAGTGCAGCAGCCCGGGTTCGATTCCCCCACTCTGTTTCTTCTGGTCTCCTCTCTACATGTCTAATAACTGGAAAAACAGACAGATAAAATGAAAACAAATAAAACATTATAGTATACTACGATAACTATAAAGCTACAGTACAGAATGTCATGTTGTAGTCTGAATTACTTAAATAACAAGACTACTACAACAGTGCTCTGAGCTAAATGCTAATCGGCAATCAGCATGCTAACATGCCCAAAGTGACGTTTAGCAGGTAATATTTACCACGTTCACACCACCATCATAGTTTAACATGTTAGAAAATATCCATGGAATATTTCGGTCGGGACCAAAGTGGTGGACCGGCTGACCAACTGCCAACATTGCCATCCCTAGAAGTAAGCAGCTAGCATGGCTACAAGCCCACAATATGAGAGCTGTGACCTCCTCTAGGTCGGGTGCTTGGCAAACCTACATACTTCATGAGCCGTACTTCACACCAAGTGTGAAGAGTGTGTGGGAAAGGCTTGAAGTATGACTGAGCATGTAGACACATTGAGGAGGCTCAAAGCTGCAGACAAAAACACTAATGAAGGAAGTCAGGTAGAAAATGTAAGCACAGTAGTACTAATTGACCTGACAGACACCTCCAGAGTGTCTCAGTGGAGAGGAACTGGTGGCACCCCTCCTCGTCATTGGGCTTTCTGAGGGTCTGGAGACCCCCACGTTCTTCCCTTTTTTATTCCCCGTCCTTGTTTCACGCCCTCGCACTCTCTAAATATTGCTTCTTCCTTTGTGTCCTTCACTTGTCCATTCATCTGTCATTTAGTGCAGCCCCACTTTCTTTTTTAAACATACTCTGCTGCTGCTGTGCGCACATACGTACACTCTTACATCGTTCCATTTCAGAGGTTACCACTCAGACCCAATCCCAGTTGTGCTGTCCCCAAAAAGCCTCCTCCATCAGCGCAACACAGTGCATCTAAGTGCTGGAGCGGATATCACAGTGTGTTGGTTGACCCTCTAAAGTGACAAAAAGCACAGCAGCAGCACATAAAAACATCATCAGCACTCTGGGCCACACTGGAGCAATTCCTTGGCGCTCCACAGCAAACCCAAGACCAAAACACATTGAGAAAGTGTATCACAGGAGCTGTCACAGTGCCCGTTAAAGATGTCTTAATTGAATGTGATTTATGTTTAAGTGTGTGTCACGTCCATGCATTTTGAAATAAACATCTGTCCTCTCCATTTTTACTTTGCATATTATAAGAAGACAGAGTAACACTGAGGGATTGCGTACTTCTGCTTTTGCGTGAGACACCTCTCAGGGCACAGGGGCAATGAGCTGGCAGTAACTGGGTTTGACTTAATGCAGTAATGTATCCAACACAGCTGTCATGCTAAACAAGCTGGTGCACACAAGCACCATCTATTTACCTCTGGCGTGAATGTATTATCTCAAATGCACTACCTCGTGCTCTCAATTAAAAGCGCCAGAGTGCAAGAGTCGTTTGCTTTATTTAATTCTATATCATTAACTTCCAATTTATTCATAAATTGAGTTTTTTGCAAGTGTAGCTACTTGATAAATGCATGAGGAAACATGCTATGTAATTTTGTAGAACACACTGTAACAGGACGAAAAATTCACGCTGCTTGGATAAGATGAAATATGCTTGATGTATCTAACAAGACAGTAAAAGAGGCTTCATACCATACCACTCAGATCACAGGGGACAATATTGTAAATAAAACACTTCTCATATTTCATTAAACTTTTTAAAATGTACTCATCTACTGTTTTGCTTTAGTGTGTTGTAAGTTTTACGAGGAAACTCAAACTCATTTGGGAATCCCGCCAACTACCCTCTTTTTCTCAATGTAGGCCACCACTAAATTGATTGTTTAATTAATCATTGACAAGAAAATTCAAATTTTTATGAGAAAGAGCATGCAGGTGGTATGTGATTTCAGCCGATATGGAGCAGCTTGTCAACTAGAATAACATCATCCGTGGCCATCCAGAAGCATTAGGAAGTCAAAACCCATCTGTGTCTCTCCCCTGTGAGCTGCCATGTTAAAGAATACATGTCTCCGACACAGCGCACTGTCGTGTCAGAAGAGATGTGAGCATCAGATGGAGAAATGGAGTGAAGTGTGAGTACACAGCCACATAAATATCTATATACAGGCACTTTTATTGACATCTTTATCCAGCACTGACCACAAACATTATTCACTGACCTGATCTTATCTCACTTAACATGATGGGACACTTCATCCTTGTGTAGGTTCAACTGCATGGAGCACACATGTTACAAGCAGCCGGGATGCACATTACTGCACACATGCAGACGTCGACACAAAGTATGTATTCATCTAGCTACTCCCAATTGGGCAGCTTAATACCTGCTCAACCTTGTAAATCAATTCACGAACAGAATTCCATTTTCATATTTCACGTTTCGATCCGTCAGGTGCCCCCAAAGCACAAACAGTTCCCATCTAACTCACAAAACAGGTGCATAAATCATGCAGTGACCTTTTGCGGGGGAACAAGCAGAGGGCAGCCAGTAGCTTTAGCTGTCCCAGGGCGTAACTTCTCTCTGCGTGCGCATATGTGCATGCCCTGTGTGTTAACTGGACCACGGACAGGGGTTTTCAAAAGTTCTTGTATAAAGTTTGTGGCAATGCTTCAGACCACCAAAAATAACCAATTTTTGTTTTAAATCTCTATATGAACACCCAGACTCCACCACAGAGTTCACTAACTTGCCTTAATTGCCAAAGAATCCAGATACGCTGGCGGCCGGGTGGTTGGAGGTATGCTATAATGACTACATAAATAGTAAGACATAGCTACAAGTGGCCCTTTAAAGTGGGACTGAAATGGTAAATCTTTCCTCTTACACATGATGATAGATGAATTCATTAGCAATGGAGCACACATTTGCTCAATCCAGTACACTCAGGGAATTTGCTGCTACAGCCTTACTTGGTCTGCTATGACCAGGAGTTTACGCTGGCTAATGTTAACAAACTTTAGACATAAATGACTGTGTGAGTGAAATTACTAAGTCAGTGCTGAATTTATGACTATTTTGTAGTTGAGGTAATTGTTACACCAATTTTTAGCAGTTGCCATTAACACATCACCGCAGTGGCTGTTGTTTAGCAAAGTTACAGAACATAGGCTTGCTATGAGGTACACTTAAATTGTGATTGTTGTTTTACGGTGACTGTCCTCCCAAAAAAAAATGAGAACATCAGTTGTTTCAGTAAATGGCCAAAAACAACGTAAGGTTATGTTCAAGTGACAAAGCCCACAGTAATTATTACTCCTGGCTGCCGGAAGCATAGGAGGAAGTACAAAGTCACTTTACATTAGAGACCATGTATAAGCCCATCTGAGATTCTTCCCTATTCTGCTCACTTTAATCCTTCTATTATTCTGGTTTTATTCAGATTTTAACTTGAAACAACGTCAAAAGTCATCTTCCGACATCACGCTGAAATCACTGTGCAGCAGCAGTCTTTGTTTAACTTTGTTTAACCATCCAAAATGTGCAGGGCAATTAATTTCATCCAGCTCTGACAATTACAAATCCCACTTTCATCATTACATTCAATTAGAAAGTGCTTTAAGGTCCATTAGGGATTCAGGGACACTAGAATCTGTGACTCTTCACAACTTTGACTTTTTATTTTTATCTTCATACACAAGTCACAACTTGTGAATATCAAATGAAGTATTAAGAAGAAAGAAAAGAAAGAATTTAATTCCGATAATAATAACCTTGAGATAGCATTAAAGGCTCTAAAAGCCTACTTTCCAAATTACTCTATTACTATTATGAAGCACACAACTAATCTGCCAAAGCCATGATAGTTTCAGTTATTTCAAATTGGATTTGTGTATTTATGTTTTTTTCTGTTCTTCTCACTGGCTCAAAGTGGTTGGGATTCAGTTGGAAAAATGCGATCAAAGAGTGTGCAACTCTAAATTAACAATACGCTCTGAATATTTAATGTCATAAAGTTTTCAGATTTTTTTATTTTTTTAATGTGCCAGTGTCTGGAGATTCAAAACTTAAATAATACCATCTTTCAGTCAGTTTATATCATGACATTAACGCCAAGATGCATATTTGCCTGTGTTCTACAACAGAAACTGTAAAACTTCCCCTCTGTGTTTACTGGAAGTATACGGTTAAGGTTGCATCTATACGTATTAATTATGGCTATTCATAATGTTTTCCCCAAGTCATTTTCACTTTAAAGCAGATTCACAAGTCTCTCCATCATCTGTCCAATCATTGTCATCAGTCATCATCATCAAAGCCTTTGAGGAATCAAGAGTTTAAGATAATGCAGCACAATCAGGATGACGCAAGTTTCGGGCTGCTGTTCACACACAACAAAGAAAATGGAAGTAGCTAATTCTCCCCTGCTGATTATGTAAATACCACTAGATCCCAATCTCAAAACACCATTAATCATGTCCATATGGTTTGACTGTGTGTTATTTCAATTTCCTTGTGAAGAGCTCATTTGAGAAGCAAAGCTAATCAATCGTGTCTCATTATCGCTGCATATATCTCTGTCTGTGACACTGTACACTCAACGCTGATATTGACAAAAGACTGATACTTAAACAATTCACTGCTAAGGGAAAGCATCAGCGGTCTGGAATCCTTGTGTGCATATGTGATTTTCAATTGCATCCAAAACTAAAGTTTCTCAAGCCAGAGCTAACTATCAGTGTAGCTCTAGCCTCAACAGAGCTTAAGGCTAACATCAGCATTCTAACATACTCACAATGACAATGCTAACATGCTGATGTTTAGAAGATACTGTTTAACATAGTTGTGATCTTAGTAAGGTGTGATAGCATGCTAACATTTGCTAATAATAATCACAAATTTACATTAGTTTTAAAGGGATTTGATCATATATGGTGAAGTATTGTAGAGCTGCACAACAAGGCTAAAGACTGCCACATTAACATATGATAAACAGCAGCATGCTTTATGCTTTCACACACATTTTATTGACCTTGATGTTACCAGCTATTATTTGTA